AGGGGAAGGCTCAGAAGTGCTTATTAGATAACAGAATAATAGAGTTAGAAGGGACCTTGGAGGTCATCTTGTCCAGGGGTCTCCAACCCCCGGTCCATGGACCAGTACCGCACCTAGTATGCTAGCAACTGGTCCACACAAACAAGCAAAGCCCCATTTGTGAAATGCAGGCAGCACACAAAACCACGCACCCTCTGGTCCACAGAAAAACCTCTCTCCAGGGAACTGGTCCCTGGTGCCCAAAAGGTTGGGGACCTCTGATCTAGTCCAACCATCTGCATGAGCAGGAAACCTTATACCATTTCAGACAAATGGCTCTCCAGTCTGTTTTCAAAGCCCCAGTGATGGGGCACCCACAACTTCTAACGGCAAGCAATTACACTGTTTGATTGTTCTCACTGTCAGGAAATTTCTTCTTAGTTCTAGATTGCTTCTCTCCTTGATTAGTTTCCATCCATTGTTTCTTGTCTTGCCTTCTGGTGCTTTGGAAAATAGTTTGCCCACCTCATCTTTGTAGCAGCCCCTCAAATATTGAAACACTGTTATCATGTCTCCCCTAGTCCTTCTTTTCACTAGATTAGAAATACCCAATTCCCGCAACTGTTCTTCATGTTTTAACCTCCAGCCCCCTAATCATCTTTGTTGCTCTTCTCTGTACTTTTTCCAGAGTCTCGCCATCTTTTTTATATTGTGGTGATCAAAACTGGATGCAGCATTCCAAGTGTGGCCGCACTAAAATTTTGTAAAGTGGTACTAATATTTCATATTATCTTGATTCTATCCCTCTATTAATACAGCCTAGGATTGCATTGCCCTTTTTGGCAGCTGCCTCACACCATTGGCTCATTTTTAAACGTTTGTCCACTTGGACTCCAAGATCCCAATCACTGTTACTGGCATTGAGCCAAGTTTCACTTAGTCTGTACCTATATAGTTGGTTTTTCTTGCCTAAGTGTAAAACCTTACTCTTTTCTATATTGAATTTCATTTTGTTAGATAGGGCCCAATGTTCAAGTCTGTCAAGATCTTTCTGGGATGTTGACTATTCCTGCCAGCTTAGTGTCATCTACAAATTTGATGAGTTCCCCTTCTATTTTCTCATCTAGATCATTTCTGAAGATATTAAAGTGTACTGGGCCTAAGACAAAACCTTGAGGTACCTCAACACTTACTTCCCTCCATGTGGATGCAGTTCTGTTGAGGATTACACACTGAGTATGGTTTGTCAGCATCCATCCGTGGTGATGATATTGTTGTGGTCTACCTTGTCAAATCCCTTACTGAAATTTAAGTATACTATGTCCACAATATTTTGCTGACCCACTAATTATTATACTAATTAAGTGTGCTAGAGAAAGTCCAAGCATCCATAAAGGGAATATAAATGTGACTAGTGTGCTTACTTACTATATGAGTAAAAAGTAGTATATATGGACAAGAAAGCTATGTATTTCTTTGCAATCCTCTGGATAATTGCAGATTTATTGAAGGGGAGGTACCCGGCTGGCCACGGTTCAGTTATTCTCTCAAATATGTAATATTTCCAGCTTTATATACATGTTATTTATGTGTCTATATCAATGTTTTTAAGTTTAGTAACTTTAAGATGCCTGAACATCAACTCCCAAGACTGGCTGGGAAATTCTGGAGTTGAAATCCACACATCTTAAAGTTGCCAAGCTTGAGAAAGACGGATCTATTCTCTGCAGCTCAATAGTTTTTCAGTATGACTTGGGGGGGATGATGCCCCAAACATTTTTAAAGAATCTGTTCACCCTGTATCTAGGAATTATCTGAATTTTCCAGGGAATTTCTCTCCCTAAAAGAAGACCAAAAAGGTCATATCTTTCAAGCTTAGTAAAGAATGATTGCTTATTAACACTAATTCTGTGGGTTAGTATCTATACAGTGCATTAACTAATGCTTTTGGTCAAGGCTGGAATATTTGCACAGCACAATACAGCACTAAGCTGAAGGGAGACAGTATACTAAAGACACTAGAGAGAAAGGGCATTGTCTTGTATATGAGTAAAAGAGAGGGAAAAAGAGATTTATTCCTATATTATTTCAGTTCGTTACTCTGATGTGGTATTTAAATTAGACACTTCCAATGTTTTTAATTCACGCACAGATATTTAAAATTATTCTGTTCATTCATTAGGGTTTTCAGATCTGGAATATAAAAATCTGGATGGACAACAAATGGCAGCAAAGAGACACAGAAATGTTTAATTGGATTTTTGTGGCCCAAATCTGTAAGCCTACTTTACACTTATTTCTCCTTTTATGTTTTTATTTTTTATTCTTAATATTTATCCTCTCAGATTTCTTATTTATATTTATTCAAATTAAATCAATTTTTAATTGTCATCAAAGATCAGAAATTATTTACAATACAAATAATATATAGAAGTGCTAAATTTCAATTAATGAGAAATAACTAAGTAGAAAATATGAATTATAAATCAGCAGATAGCCAGAATCTGCATAGATGAAGTCAGGAAAGCAAAGGCTCAGAATGAACAAAGACTTGTAACAAAAATCAAAGATAACAAAAAAGTTTCTTTCAACATATAAATAACAAGAAAAAAAATCAAGGAAACAGTTGGTCCACTAAAGCAGTGGTTCTCAACCTTTTTAATGCCGCGACCCCCAATTGGTTGTAAATCGAGGACTAAACCGGTCGTACGTCGAGGACCCAACCGGTCGTAAGTCGAGTACTTTCCATGCCCGGGAGCGCCGCGCATGCGTGGTTCCGCCCCCTGCACCGGCCGAGGCGTAGCTGGCAAGCGGCAGAGACGGAGCAGGCCGACCACCAGCTGGCCCAGCTCAAGAGAGGTAAGGCACCCGCCGGAAAAGGGAAAAAAATGGCGGACAGCCTTGCTTGGCGACCCCCGTGAAATGTTCGATCGACCCCAAATGGGGTCGCGACCCATAGGTTGAGAACCGCTGCACTAAAGAGAGAAGATGGCAAGGAAGTAACAGGCAGCAGAGAGAAAGCAGAGCTATTTAATTCATTCTTTGCATCGCTCTTCATGCAAAAAGAAATTATAGCCAAACCCACCAAAAACATAACTGAAAAAGACAAACTAGAAATAAAAGCCACAATAAACAAAAAAAAAATGGTAAGAGAACGCCTGTCTGATCTTGATGAACATAAATCACCGGGACCTGACGGACTATACACCAGAGTTCTGAAGGAGCTGGAAGAGGTCATCTCAGAACCACTGTACCATATCTTTCAAAACTCCTGGAGCACCGGGGAACTACCAGAGGATTGGAAAAGAGCTGATGTGGTTCCCATCTTCAAAAAAGGAAAAAAAACAAACAAACCTAGGAAACTACAGACCAATCAGCCTAACATCAATACCTGGGAAGATACTGGAAAAGATAATCAAAAAACAGATCTGCGATCATCTAGAAACAAACAAAGTTATAACTATAAGCCAGCACGGGTTTGTTAAAAACAGATCATGCCAAACCAACCTTATTTCATTCTTTGATCAAGTGACTAAATTGGTGGACCAGCAGAATTCTGTGGACATGGTATACTTGGACTTCAGCAAGGCATTTGACAAAGTAGATCACAACCTACTTCTTTGAAAGCTTAAAAATAGTGGGATAGACAGTATCACCATCCGATGGATTTTTAACTGGCTGACAAACTGCACTCAAAGAGTAGTCCTTAATGGTACTAATTCTACACGGAGGGAAGTAAGCAGTGGAGTACCACAAGGTTCTCTCCTAGGCCCAGTACTCTTCAACATCTTCATAAATGACCTAGACGAGGGAATAGAAGGGGAACTTATCAGATTTGCTGATGACACTAAGCTGGCAGGAATGGCCAACACTCTAGATGATAGGCTCAAGATCCAGAGGGATCCTGACAGACTTGAACACTGGGCCCTATCTAACAAAATGAAATTCAATGTAGAGAAAAGTAAAATCTTACACTTAGGCAAGAAAAACCAAAAGTACACATATAGATTGGGTGAAATCAGGCTTAATAGAATCTTGGAGTCTTAGTGAACAATCAATTAAATATGAGCCAGTAGTGTGCGGCGGCAGCCAAAAAAGGCACTGCAATCCTAAATTGCATTAACAGAGGGATTCAATCAAGATCACGTGTGGTACTAATACCACTCTATAAAGCCTTAGTAAGATCACACCTAGAATACTGCAATCAATTTTGGTCTCCACACTATAAAAAAAGACATTGAGACTCTGGAGAGAGTGCAGAGAAGAGCAACAAGGATGATTAGCAGAGTGTAGACTAAAACATATGAAGAACGGTTACTGGAACTGGGCATGGCTAGTCTAGTGAAGAGAAGGACCAGGAGAGACATGATAGCAGAAGTATGAAGTCTTCAACGCAACATAACACTATACTTTTATTACACTAAATGTGATTTAAAAAAGGACAATGAGAACAGTCACTTTAAGAAAACAAGCTTAAAATCATATTTAGACAGGTGCTTTTGGCTAACTATTGTAATATAGAGATCAGACACAGATAGCCTTATAACCTGAACATTCTGTGTCAGATCATTCCATCTGAAGCTACCATTTGACCCACCCATAAATCAAATGTGAATTTAAAATATGATATGACACAATTAGACATTCACCTCCTAATTTCACATTTTTTGATATTCAGTAAAATTAATTGCCATAAGCTTCAGGCTCAAATATATACAGTTGTTTTTAATAGATACGTATGAGATGAACAAAATTAAACACCTGAATGTTTTAAATTAGATCCCTATGAATGAACAGATTAATTCTGAAGAAATGGTGAAGCAAAGTCTCAGTCTTCTAGATATGCAAAGATAAAGGATGGCTCTTCCACACAAAATAATCAGATACAAAAAATAGCTATTTAGAAGCAGCATACCTATGACTACTTTAATCAAACATTTAGGTTACCTGCCAAAAGAACCATGATCTCTTCAAAATGCAATGTGGATTAAAGTGTTATCTACCATGAACAGAAAACTAACCTTGGAGTGGAAGTTTGAGATGTGTTCATCATAATTTTCATGTCTTTGGATAGAAAAACCAGCCTTTTCAGCTAGACTGCAGAACTGGTTTAGAGTATTTCCTCTAAGTGGAGCAAATATCAGAGCTTTCCCCTAAAACATTAAGAACATTTATTTGTTTTTATTTAAATTGTAACATAACATTGATAAAATTGTTAACACATTAGTAAAATGGACAAAGGTATAAAAAAATAGGAACAGGAAAATCTTGAAAAATATGCTAGAAAGTAAATTTTACCAAACATAAATAATTGCACTTGACTGTTACCAAATTTATTTTATCTTTTCCACAGAATTTTGTCCAATTATTCTATTAAATCAAGTTGCTAAAGAAATCGCTATAAGCTGTAAAGAAAATTGATCCATAGTCATATTTATTTTTTGTTAGAATTGAGGTAACTGTATAAATGGTGTCGCATGTAAAACTGTATAAATGGGATGTGCTTTCACATTGAATTTTCTACACTTCTCCTTCCATTACAGCTACCAGAAAATATTCTTCTAGTGTTTGTGGGAATTACAAAAAATATCTTGGATGAGGAACAGAGGAGCAGTAGTAGAGGAAAGGGTAACAGAAACAACTGGGTCTTGCATAATGTGTGCTTTGCTTGCTTTAGGGCAGGGGTAGGCAACCTCGGCTCTTTTATGACTGGTGGACTTCAACTCCCAGAATTTCTGAGCCAGCCTGGCTCAGCTTGGAAACCTCTCCCTATCCCCTCAGTGTGGCTGGCTCAGGAATTCTGGGAGTTGAAGTCCACCAGTCATAAAAGAGCCAAGGTTGCCTACCTCTGCTTTAGGGATTTACATCAGATTTTTTCCAATGAATGTCTGCTATCATTGTCCCATGTGCTACATATCAGGACTTTGCTGTGGACCCCGAATATTCCTGAAAGTTTGATCAGAACTGGAAAGGAATAGAGAATGTAGAAAAACTCATGATCAGAGCATCCTTCTCTTGGCATAAATTTGGGATGTAATCCAATAAATTTAACCACTCTATATCTATGTTTCTACTGCTTCAATATGTCTATGGAGATTCTCAGTCATCCAAAGGTGCTTTGGTTGTCCCAAAGGTGCTTTTTTTTTCATGAAGCAACTGGACTTCCTTGTTTTTCTTTGAAGACATTTTGCTTCTTATCCAGTCAGAGCTGAAGAAGCTTCTTGGATGAGAAGCAAAATGTCTTCAAAGGAAAACAAGGAAGTCCAGTTGCCTCGTGGGGGAAAAAAAGCTTCAATACAGATTTTCACAATGAAACAATATTGATAATGGGTTCAATTTGTATTTAGCAGTGCTCTTTAATGCACCAAGAAAATGCAAGTCTCCCTATTGGTGCATTTTGGTATGAAGTGCTCCATTATGGAGAAATAATAGATTCATAATGCAGTAAGAAAATCCCTGCAAAAAGCTTTTTTTAAAATCGTCACTGAATTCAAAGGCAGGAATTATAAGTCAACAGAAGGATACACATTGTTTTCACTTGGATCATATAGACCATAGGTGGCAATTCTTGTGCTCCAAGCAGCTCCCAAATCAGTTTTACCAGTCCCAGGACCCCCAGGATTGTATAACTGAAACTTGGCAACAAATTGCCCAACATCAAGTTTGGGATTTCCAACTGATTTCTGCTAAGAAACCAAAGAAATATTTTTAAAGTATAATTTTAAATACTATACCTCACTTACATGGCAAAATCGTAGCTCCTTAAAATTATATCATCTCTAAATAAATAAATCTTGCTAGGTTAGTATTGCACAAAAGCCACCAAAGATTGTTGCTGCATTCTAAAACATACTTTCAAATAATTTAAAGGAATATTGAATTCTGAAAGACTTGGGAAGTGCTTTGATTTAGCTAAATACACGCTGTGCCATTCATCCAGGCCTTTTGCAGAGCCCATTTGTTTTTGTGAGAGATAAAATCAACCTGAAAAGTTTTATCTGAAGGTAGCTACCCTCTAACAAGATTTTTGCTCAGTTCAATATAAACCTACTCTTCCAGCTAATCAAACTTTGACTATTCTATTTGCACTGGATTTCCAAGTTTAATGTGATTTATCAGTCTGGTATGGCTGCATAAATTGCAGTTTTTGAATTTTGATCACCACTATTGCTTCTATTACAAAATTATTTGGGTCTTACTTATTGCTAAAATTCTAGGAGAATCCTATAAAACTGGACATTTAGAGACATATGCAAAGAGATGGTGGCATTCCTATCTTCCTGGAGATTGCTCTAGAATGGAGGATCTAATACAAATCCTATGTTATCAGTATATTGTCCCTGAAGCAAGGGCATAGCAAGCACTGAATTGTTCACTTAGGGAAAGTGCCATAAAAAAGCATATAAAAATGAACAAAAGGTTACAATGGCAAAATGAAATTCATTTTGGGAAAACACAAATGCAGTATTAATTCTTCAGGAGTGATTACTGAGGAAGATATAGTTCTATAAAGAATAATGCTGGAAAATGAAAATATTTAGGTGTTCTAGAGAAAACCGCAAGTATGAATTAAACATAATATTACACTGTAGTATAGATAATACATTTTTGGCTCATTCTCGGATATAGTAGAAAAACACAAGTTGAGGACCATAGAGGCAAATATCTCACTAATGCTCAGAACTAAATATGAATAAAATCGCTGTTTTTATGCCCTCTGTGAAATGAATAGCCTTTTGTCAAACAATAGGGAGAATTGTTTGGCTAGCCTCAGATGTCACAGAGGAATTCTCAGTGCACAGATTATAGGACCTGGATTTTCTATAAGGATGGATGGTAGCAAAAGGGTTTAGGATATACTACTCAGGAGATCAAGAATTTCCACTTGAAGGGAGTTCTCAGTGACCTGTCAAATGTAAAACTCTGCAATACAAGTATGTCAAAATTACTCTATCAGCTCTATATGCATCCACCAAAGACTTGCACTATGATGAGCTGTTCAGAAAACAATACTATTTTTCCAGTCAGAAATAATTATTTCTAAGTTCAGTGGAAGATTGAAGTTTAAGTCTTCAATTCAGACCACCAACCCTGTCACTAAGTAGCATGGTCATTAAGTGAAACATGTGACCATGCCCAACTTCTGTCACTTCTATTGAGGTCATTAAATGCAGTCATTGAGCCCAATGTCATGTAACTAGAACTTGTGACTTACTGCAGGCTTCCCCAATGATTTTGTTTGTTGGAAGCTAGCTGTGAAGGTTGTAAATGGCAATCACATCACTGTGGGATGCTGCAACCACTGTAAATGTCCACTGATTGCTAAGTACCCAAATCACGAACCTATAACTGTAGGTATGCTATTATAGCCTTAGGTTCATAAATCTATTTTTTCAGCATTATCATAAATTTGAACAGTCACTGAGAGAGGTAGTCATTAACAAAGAACTACTGTATATTCTTCTGGTAGTTCAGAGAACATCATCATCTCCAGATAAGGATATAAATAAAGTTAAATTAGAACAATAGACAAGAAAATACTCGAATGAGTATTTTCTTGTCTATTGAACTACAGAGTATGTGCCTTTAGTAGGTCCTCAGAATTTACTTTCCCTGAAACAAGCAGTCCTTTAGCATTTGGACTTTTAACATTTCCATATATTCTGGATTCCTGTTCAACCTAGCTGTTGAAGGTCAAGAAAAGAAGCTGGGAGAGTCATTTTTTTAAAAAAATACTACTATTATTATTTAGTTGTTGAGGTACAACAAACAACTACAACAATAATATACTAGACCTGGTGGTTGAGATTGGCAATGCCTCGCTTCATAAAAAGATGTTTTTAATTTATTGTTATTCATCTCACTTCACAAATATGGCTTTGACAAGGTTAAGCTGTTTTTATTCTGGCAATAGCAGAAGAATTTCTTTTAAGCATAGACTGAAAGTATACAGTATTTCATATTCATTTATTTGCTAAGTGTTTCATACATTCAGAATCGGTTTCCAACCATCTTTAGGTCAGGTTAAGATTTTAACTTCTGCATCTATAGGGATATGAAGATATTAAAGGGTTTGTTTTGATATAAAAGAACATTTTAACATATCAGAATTATTTATTCACTTTCTACAAAATTACTGTACTATACAATTCATTTAGCATAAGTTGCAGTAAAAATAGCACTTTGTAACAAATAAATACTGTACATAATTACAAAGGTTACTATTGAAGGGATTACACATGACAGAAGCTAACATAAAAATTTTTCAATATCAGAATGTTACTTTAATATGAAGACATTGTTATCAAAGGGAAATACTCAAGAAATGCTTTGATAAAAATAATCTCCCAGTATCTTTGAAGCGGTTTCATTTATTTTACTTCCCACTGTGTTCCTTATCAGAAGGCCAAGTATAAGAAGTTTTCTAGTTTATGATTAGGAAGGAATCTGATAGATTAGAAGACTCAATTGAAGTTGGACATAATAAGTATTAAAGTATTACATGACGTTAATCCTGCCATTCCATTACTCTCTCAATCACTGTGCACAGACTAATTATTCTGAAGCCCATGTTCAGGAGAAAATAGAAACATACTTACACTGTGATGAAGTAATCTCTTTATTGCATCCACTAGGCTAGCTCTGTACTGGTCCAGAAACAGGCTGACATTGAAAAGGGAACAGTATTCAGATTAAAAAGGGGTTTCATTTCTAATGATTCTAATGCAGATAAGTATAAGGCTAATTACATATATTTATACACTGCTATGAAGAAAAACTGAATCTAAATTCTTCTCAGTTCATGGTTTCTAAACAAATTCTGAAACTTGTAACCATTTTTGTCTGAAACTAAAAACCAAAGGATTATCAAGACATGCTTTTAACTGAACTACTTTTAAGATAAATAGTTGGGTTATATAATCAGAATTAATACAATGTACAATGAATAAATCCCATTCTATTTCTGGAGGAGAAATTAATATTAAAACAGGCTGTCCTCTGCATTTTATAGAAAGATTCGATTGATTTTGCTTATTTCTAAAAATATGTATATATTCTGTACACTCATTTTTAACTATCAAACAAGTCTTTTTAGCTGAAATAGTAAATAAAATTAAAAACCTGTCTAAAACTAAACAAGATGCGCGAAGAGAGAAATAAAAATAAACATGGCACTGTGAAATTTATTTAGCCAAATACCACAGGGGGCTTGAAGAATAATTCAAAAGAGAACAAGGATACCTCATTGATAGGATAACTCATATATGCCCACTATATCATATATGCTTATTTATATATTTATGTATGTTTAAGCATTCTTTTTTTTGTATATAGAGCATCATCATGGAAATGACTCTCATTCTTCTTATAATTAAAACTTTTTGTACATCTATTTTAACCTTATTTAAAACAAGGTTCCTACTACCTTTTACCCAAGCAGTGTAACAAAAATTGCTAGAAAATTCATTTTCTTCCCTCATCAATTTGTTAGAGGCACTAATTTGATTCCATGGTAATTCCAGCAAGAGCTGAAAAGAATTCAGCTCTGTAACTTTATAATGTTGCAATGATGCAGTGCATGTTGCTATTGCTTACATTAATGGGATACATTGCTTTAATTTAATTACACTTAATTATAAATTAGTTTAGCTGTGTTCCCCATTTTTTTTTATTCTGATACAACTTGTAGGAATATGACCTCTGGCATGCCACTCCAAGGCCCCTCAGATCTGGTAAACCTAACAGGTATGTTAAATTTTTCTGCAAAATGTGAAAAAAAGGAGAGCGACATATCAATTGGTTTTACTCCCAACTGAAAGAGTAGTTCTCTATTCTTTCAACTGGGAGGAAAACCAATTGATTTTGCATCAACTTGTATATCCCTAAGGTGGTGTGATTTTCACTGGCCCAGGAGACTCACCAACTGAAATTTAGCTGAATATCAAAATTGCAACTTCTATGGTCCTCTATGCTATTTCAGTAAGAAGTGTAGTTAGAATGGCTGAAGTGTCTTGGTTTAAGCATACGCAGAAGCTCATTTAGGTTAAAGAGATTCCAGAAAAACAAATTATATGGAGGCAATATGATAGCCTATGTTGAAGCCTACATATTTTATATTTTGATTGTGAATTATTACTAGCATTTGTGAAGCACTGATATCTGTTTACATTTAATAAGTTTCAGTATCACATATTTTTATTGTGCATGTAATATGATAGCCAAGTGCTACTATTCATGATGCTTCTGATACAAATCTGAGTAGTTCGCTCTTCATCATCATTAGCAGTTCTGCATACAGTAACTTCAGTAAACAACAAAGCTGTCAGGCATATTCATTATGGGGAGAAATGGAGCCCTTATTTCCACACCATCAGATCATTATGTAAAATGAAAACAAATGGGAAAACTTGATCAAAATGAACAATAAATTATTATTATAAAATTCTGCAACCCCATGCATATTCTCGGTAGCTATCATGCATTTTATAACAATATGCAGTTAGTGCTAACTGCTGTGAGAGCTATCAGAGGAAATCAGAAATGGAATTCACATGAATCAGTCTTGAAACTAGAACTATCTGTAAATGGATGGACTGATGCCTGAAATAAATGCATACTTGCCATTCATATAAAAATGGAAGAAGTAGAGATACTTCGTCTATTAAAATTCAGGTGATAATCTCTGCCTCCCCAAACCCATGTCATCTGTACTTATCTCTTGCCATCCCATTAGCTCTGTACTTTCTGAAGAAGAATATCACTATTTTTATTTATTTTGTTTTCTAGCAGAAACTCCATTAAAAAAACCCCTTCTCCTTTACATTAATCAAAGCCACAAAAACAGTTTCCATTTCATTCTCAGATGCCAACAATTACTCCATTGTTTATATGGCATAATATATTGAAATAACATTTTTCTTTAAAAAAAAAACCCTGCACCAAATGCCTCAACATTTGGCTATACATGTTAAATTCATAACTACTGTAGTCACTTTTTAAATAGTTTTGATGCAGAAAAATTCCACCATGATTAATTCATCAGAATAGAACTGGAAGATACCTTGGAGGTCAAGATGAGACCCTATACCATTTCAGATAAGTGGTTGTCCAGTCTTTTCTTAACAACATCTAGTGATGAAGCGCCCACAACGTCTGAAGGCAAGCTATTCCACTGGTTAATTGACCTAACTGTTAGGAAGTGTCTCCTTAATTCCAGGTTGCTTCTCTCTTTGATTAGTTTCCATCCGTTATTTCTTGTCTTGCCTTCTGATGCTTTGGAAAATAAATTGATCCCCTCCTTCTTGTGGCAGCCTCTCAAATATTGGAATTGTGCTATCATCTCTCCCCAATTCTTCTTTTTTCTAGCTGGATGATCTAGTGATCATCTAGCTTTGCCCATAGATACATCAAATTTCAATAGCCCGTTAAGAAATGCAAAAATACAGCTGATTTAATGACTTAGAGAGAAAAAAGATGAGGAATCTATGTATTTCCAGTCAATGCTTTCCCAATTCCTGGGCATTTTATCTGCAGTGGGAAAGATTAGTTGCTCTGGCAGCTTCAGGTAAGTCAAGCCATGACTGAAAGTATCAGATAAATGCACAGGATAGTTTGAGATTTGGTACGGGATTGTTGTGGCTACAACTTGATAAATGAATGGTATAAAATAATTAACATGGATCTTTTACTTCCAGTTACCATTCTTTATATAATGGTTGAAGAAACTATTTCCCCTCTTACGTGCTTTAAACTGTATACAGAAACCTGCCTAAAAATTAGTACTGAATTCCTTTTATCTTATTCTGTGTTGTAAGTATACAGCACTATGAAATAGTTTTCTCTAATATGTTTTATTTTTTTCTGAATATTCTTTATTCGGTACTCCCAAAATTTCCTAACTACGGATTAGCTAGTTGCAAGTTATTTAATCTTGTTTTTTAATTTATTTTATATCTGGCCTGGCCTGATTTAAGTCATAGATTATTGTTGCAATTACTAAATATGGTAAACTTTTATTAATTTCCTTTCAATTTCTGTGCACCAACTATTTCAATATCAGAATGCAAGCATAGATATAATTGAAGAATTTTAGCAGGACACTAGTATTTGTAATCATGCATATTTTATATGAATCTCAGTCTAACTTTGCAATTCATTTATGAACGGAGCCTACTTTATTCTTGTTTTAATAAATGGAATCAAGTAGTACCAATGGCTAGCTAATCAGAGCATCGTACTATGCCAAAACAATATAATAGAAACCTGTCATTTTCCTTAATATTTGAACCAAGGTTTCTGCTGTATTCTAATTCCAGAGCTTAACGGCTGACAATGATCTGGATAATGTTGTTAAATGGATATTACAAAATTATTATACCTGTTTTTTGTTTTCATTTCTACACAGTTTTGAAATATCTTAAATATTAGCATATGCACACACAGTCCATACATATTACCCAATTTTTTAAATGAAATTCCCAATAAAAAATTGAAAATATATTTTATGTCAACCTAGTAATTCAGATTATATATTACATACAGCTCTGTAAATTATTTCTGTTTGAAAAAGAAAAATGCAATATTTGGTTCCTCAAACTAATATGTGGCTATGCTTATGCAGTACAGTACTTTGTCTCAGATCAAAATGTAGTTCAGCTTTTTAAATGTTAAAAGCTTCTATTATGCTATTCTTTTGGTAGGCATTAATTAAAGCATGTTTGCTTTAATACTGTGGTAAATCCACAGAACTAGGTGCATTTTATATCTACTAGTGAATGTATATCTATTAACCACAATTCTTTGTTTTCTAGTAAGACAACAATTCCTCTGGGAATTCTAGCAATTTATTCATTAGACAATAGAAAAATAGACAACATAATATATAGTTTTTAAAAAATTAAGTTAAATCTTGTTCTTTCTGATATTCTCTACCAAGTAAATTGGATGACAGCATAGGTATTAGGCATAAATGAGATACAATAGTCAGATTGTTTTGATATTTGTGTGAAGAACAAATTTAACTCAAAATCTCTTGGCAAACCTTGCTTCACCCACATAATCTGGAGAACATCCCTATGCAAGCCTTGTCTAAGCCTCTGAGAAGACTGCTGCCCTCCTGTTCACGTCCGCCAGAATCTGATCTGACTTTCATACTTAATCTGATCTAATCCTGTCCAGCATTAACTTCATCTGTGCAATGAAACCCAGAGTATCCATTCTAATATTTGGTGAGGAAGGCATTTACTAAATTACTTGCTGAAATCATATGGTGTTGTTTAGCTCCTTATTTTAATCAGATGATGCATCTCTGAGGCACATTATCAGCGATTAGTTAGAAACCCATGTCTGTCCTTTTTGGGAACAAAGAAGTTTTGCTGAAAGGCTACGCATTGGGAAAAGAAAGCTTGTTTCATTCATTCGTTAGAAAAGAAAAAGCATTATACAGAACTAGAAATATTTTATTAAAAAAGCATTTTCAAAATCATGTCTATAGCTCATGAATTTAATTCACTGTTTTAAAGGACACAATAGTTAGTTTCTTCTTTAAACTATTCAGTTTCTACAGTCACTTAGAATATATTTATAAAGCACATTTGCATTAAAAATGTGTATTTATTCTTCTTATCATGCATGTCAATTGCTTCACAGAAGTCAGTAGCCAAAATCTCATGGACTGTCTCAGACCAGCATCCAAGAAGCCACACAGAATTGAATTATGTATTTATGTGAAATAATATTCCTGTTAAAATGTATTTTCAAAACATACTTCAAATTAAATCATTGTGGGCTTTATATAATTAGATAAGCCACCAGAAATAAACATTTTTTATATCAACAGCCAAATTTACTTACATACATAACAAAACATTTGTAACTTGTTAATCAAACAATGCTTAATATGTTTTTTTCTCTGATTTCTTTTTATTGCAATTGATTTACTAATTTTAACACCTGAATATAACTAAGGAAATGGCTGTTGTTATTTTCTTGGGCAGCTTTAAAAAATGGAGAGAAAATTCCCAAAGATTTAATGGGAACACAGAATGTATATCCTCTTATATCAATAGTCAGATCTTTCCAAAGAAGTAAGCTAATTGAGCTGTTTGTGTTGATAAACTCCCTTTTCTCCAGACTGTTCCTCACTGAGCCATAATTATTTGCAATTTGCCTAAGTCGTCCATTTACTGATACATCAAGCATGAAACAGAGGCAATTCCAGAAAATGGAAATGCTTCTCAAAATCAATCTTTGGGAAATAATGTGGTAGAAGTTACTGTGTGATAGAAGACTACCTTAGAACTGTCACATGGAGATGAATATTAATTTGTTGAGGTTAAGATGGCTTTGTGCTTCATTTGTTGACTTTGCTTAGCCATCAGCAAGCAGAACAGTACAATTACTTCAGCAAAGCTTTTTTTTCCTCACATGAATTTTATGATTTTTATGTACTTACCAGTCAGCACACATAACAATGTCAAAATGTCCTTCCAGTTGAGAGACATCCGTCTCATTATCCCATCGTAAAATGCTAGAAAGAAAGAAAAGATTTTTAAAACTGGACATGTGTTTTCTCTTTTACATTTCTAAAAAAGGTGCATTTAATATGTTGACCCAGAATCAAAATAATTGATTATTAAAAGTACATAACATGATCATAAAGAGTGCATATAGACGTATAAATTAGTGACATCCACAATAAATATAGCTTTATATGAACAGCTGGTTAAAGAATTCCTGTAAGTAAAGCGATATATACAGGAAGTCTACAGTTTTGCCCCTTACTAATTAAATTGGTATACAGTAAATTGCAGTATTGCTTATTGAATTGCAGTATACATTTACAAACCAAAATATTGCTTTCTTGTCTCTCTGCTGGTTGTGATAAGTGTTCACTGACTTTCTTATTGATAAAGCCAGTTTCCTTTAGCTTTTTAGGAAGGACAGAGAATAAGCATTCTTGAAAATATGCCAACATTATACTATTAAGGTTTGCTCTTGACTAGCTCATGTTTAATTCTAACATCTAGAATATAAAAAGAGTTTTAAATTTCATTTCCAAAACAAAATTATGAATAATTGGAACGAGAGGTTATTTCTTTAAAAATAAAATTTACAGTATATGCATATTGTTTAAAAGTGCTTTTATTACAAAATTTATTATGTTATGGCTTTTTTGTGATTTGTTATAAAAAATACATGTTTCATTTGCAATCATTGGTACAAAAGCTAAGAAAAGCTAGAAAGAAAGGGGAATGGTATATTCAGTCTGATACATATTTATTTCCATTTAGGACATTTTATTCACTAATGAGAACCGTTTCTGATTAAGATCATCTGAAGCAGTGGTTTATATGATTCATATTTATGGTTTATACATAATATTTTCTTTGTGAAAGATTGTTTTATTGTTCCACAATATATCTTATGTACATAGAATATTACTGAATTAAAATCCTTGAGAAAAATCATTGTTGATGTACAACATCATGGGGGAAGAATATCATGTGTAGAATATCAGACTAACAAAATAATAATGCAGAACTCACTCACTAATTTACCCTCCTGGAATGTATTTGTGCCATTCCAAAGGGGGAAAACAGTAGGTTAATTTAATCACCGCACAACCCCAAGTACATACAAGCATGCATATATAGACCCATATATTCACACCCATTTAAACTATAAAGCGGGCACACATTTTCGAAACCTAGGTGGCTTTGCAAACTGGCACTTTCAGGGCTCAGCAGGCATCCACTAGTGGAAAGTGACAAAGGAGAGTTCTCACTCTCAGCTGCTGACTGCCTGCTGGCTACTGGCGGCTTTTTCAACCCTGTTTCCGTGGAAACTTAGGTTACAACAGTGAAAATTAGGTAAAGGTAAGTTGGTGGGGTTGTTAGTTTTCATTTGATTTTTTAAAAAAACACACAAAAAAAACCCCTCTGAAGCTGCAATAACAGCTAGTGGTTGAGTTGCTAACTTTAAAGGCCATCACTAGTCTGTCATTCCACTGAAAGGCAATCCATGAAGACAAATAAGAACTGTAAAGTTTATGATTATTTTTTTCCTAAATCCTTTTTATTTGTGCCTATCTGTCCTACATATAATGAAGATGACTCAGTAATTGTCCAGCATTAACCACTGCACTTTGAAGGCTTCTGGATTCTTAACCTTATTCTCGCATTATACATTTCACTAGATTTTTTTTTAAATTTCAAAAGAACCTTACTCTAAAATAACCAAACAAGTTATTTTACTTTTTTGGCTATTCCAGTACACACACACACACACACACACACACACACACACACACACACACACACACACACTATTCATAAAAGCTAGGTAACTGGCTCAAAATACATTATATGCTCTTCCCCAAATTTTGAAGAAATATCTCTGATTCATTTTCAATTATGTAATTTTTAAACCAGAAGAGATATTTAATTTTTAGGTTTGAATAATGGAAGCAGCTTTTTAAGTGGGTAGGAAGAAGTAACACATGCTTACGTCTGCCACCTTCTGATATTTTCCCTTAGCATTTTAATTGGGAAGGTATCAAAAAATCTTTTTCAGAGGATACATATAAGAATAGGTTTCCTGGAGCAAGCTCAGGATAGTTATTTAGTTTTAGTCAATTCAAGATCGTTAAGATACATTCGAATGTGAGAAAGTGAGAAGTAGCACATGTTACTACTTCTATTCTAGAAGTTCTAGTTGCAGATACAAGACTATGTCTTTGAAAACTTTCCAAATACCCTTTTAATAATCCCATGTTAATTTTCCTTATGTAAGGGCAGTAAATCATAGCTTTTTAGTACAGAACATGCAAAAGGTTCTCAGTTTCAATTTGAGTTAAGGATATGGAAATTAAAGGGATAAAAGAAGCAGGTGATCTCCGCTGAAGATAAGAAAATCGTTGCCTTCAAAGCAGACAACAGTGCAACTTAGGAAACTTCTTTATACAAAGTCAGATAATTGATCCCTCTGGTATATTTGATTCAGTGCAATCTATATTGAATGGAAGCAACTCTCCATAATTTCAGACATATGTTTTGGCCAGCTCTATAAATTCTTCCATATTAAGGTAGATGGATAAATAATGCACCTTTTCCAATATTTTAATGGAATCCCATCATGGATTTAAATAAACCAGACAACGACGCATTACTATAACTATGACAGGTTAAAGGGCAGAAAGGAATGGCTTATTATCTTGAAATCTTATTTTCTCCCAGTAGTATAATTCAAACCACAATGCATGGTAATTATCATTTGTGAATATCTATGGAGATTCTCAGTCATCCCGGTCATAGTTGTTCCAAAGTTGCTTTTTCACAAAGCAACTGGACTTTTTAGTTTTTCTTTGAAGTCCACATTTTGGACAGAGAGGACCACTGGTTTGAAGAGGGGTCAAAGAGGCGATTTGTATCAAAATTGAACAGCCCTCTTTCAACAAAGGGGGAAGGATACAACATCATCTGTCACCAGGCTACAACACAGTCCTTTCAATAGTTTCAAGAAGGTTCCACACCCATTTGCACTACTCAAATGACCCTGAAGACACAGATAAACGTCCAGGTGGCTCGATGACTCTCCGAAAGAATGCAAATGACCAGCTGCCTGCAAGGAGTATAAATCCTTCCATTCCCCACCATCCAGTCAGACCTGAAGAAGCTTCTTGGATGAGAAGCGAAACGTCTTCAAAGAAAAACAAGAAAGTCCAGTTGCCTCGTGAAAAAGCATCTTTGGTATATCATTTGTGAATCTACATTTGTAAGGCAGTAAAAAGTCTGAGAAGGCTTATTCCCTCATCAACCCTGGAAGATATGATCTGTGTATATATCTAGAAGCAAAACAATATCATTCCAAAAATACTTAATCTATACTAAGGAAACACAATGTATCATATATTTAGTGTCTACCTAAATACATAATACAGAGTTTAGTGATAGCATATGTAGGATAAAAGCAACTGTATGCCATAAATAACAAAAGTGATATTTAAAAGTAAGCATGAAAGTTGAATGCATTATATATAACTATTATAATTCTGCCTTAGTCAACTAACTCCTGCAGAACTTAACCTATCCAGAGGAATTATGAAATAGGTATAAATGGGAATAGAATAGAAAGAGCCAGTTTGGTGTAGTGGTTAAGGCACCAGGCTAGAAATTACAAGATTGTGAGTTCTATTCCTGACACGGGCATGAAAGCCAGTTAGGTGATTTTGGGCCAGTCAGTCTCTCTCAGCCCAATTCACCACAGGATTGTTGTGAGGAAAATAGGAGTAGTAGTATTGCATGTGTTCAGCACCTTGAGCTATGTATAAAATGATAAAGGTGGGATATAGCAGAGGCCCCCAACCTTTTGGGCACCAGGGACCGTTTTTTTCCACAGACTGGAGGGGGTGTTGTTTCGTGTGCTGCCTGCATCCCGCGGATGGGGTTTCGCTTGTTTGTGCGGCCTGGTTACTGGTATGCAATGGCCCGGTGCCGGTCCACGGACTGGGGGTTGGGGACCCCTGGGATATAGAATAAATAAATAAACATGTTATTGACTAAATCCCCAAATGCAAATAAACTCACAGTTTACATTGTGAATAAAGTGTAGGAATATTGCACCTTGATGAGCTATCACACATCCTCCTTTGATGGCTGGAATGGCAGGCCAAAAATATATAACTCAATGTTCTTTACAATGGCAGAAAAACACATATTAACTTTAGATTTTGACTGATCTTGACCTATCTGATCAGGGATGATATTATATTCCCCAACTGATAAATTCCCAAATATGGAGAATACAGAAAGTATAAATAAGTGCACACCAATGAAAGAATGTAAGCCTTGCTAAAGAAAAAATGGAAAAATATTTAAGTGGGGAACCATTTCTTCATAAGTGATTTTCAGTGAGAATCTAATCCTAGGTACTGTTTGTTGCAGGTGCAAGGCGAGAATGACATAAATTATTTCATTCTTGAACTTTTTTGCAATATTTGCTTACAAGGACACAAAAACTGGGTATTCTTTTCAATCACTTTAAAAAATAATAATGCAAATAGAAGTCATAGGATTAAAATATGACTGCAGTTTAATTAATATTTATTACACTATGAAATATAACATATTTATGCATAATTTTTAAAATGCCAGTATTATTAACATTCCTGTTCCCAGATAAGATAGAAAAATGAAACCATTAAAACAATAAAGCAACTATTGATTTATAATTATGGTAAAGCAGTAAGGAGAACCAATTGGTGTAGTAATTAAGGTACCAGGCTAGAAATTGGGAGACCGTAAGCTCTAGTCCTGCCTTAGGCACTGAGCCAAATGGGTGACTTTGGGCCAGTCACTCTCTCTCAGGCCTAGGAAGGAGGCAATGGCAAACCACTTCTAAAAAAATCTTGCCAAGAAAACTGCAGGGATTTATCTAGACAGTTGCCAGGAATGAATGAATGAATGAATGAATGAATGAATGAATGAATGAATGAATGAATGAATGAATGAATGAATGGTACCACAGAAG